CTATACGAGTATATGTAGACTGAGCTACTGATATTGTCTTTAAGCAACCACAGGTATATACATAAGTAAAATAATGAAGAGATAAACAGGTAAGTAAATAAAGAAATAAATAGTGACCTGCTTATGGGCTAATGTTTTCAAGCACTGTGTGAGCTCACTGGTCTGATACCAGATTAGAAAATTATTGCGTTTTCTTCCAATAGAAGGTAGGGTTTTCCCTTACTTACTTATGAAGCTGAGCTCTTCTGGAGGGGCCGCCAATTCTGCAGATACTCAAGAATTTCCCAGCATTTTATGGAACCCGAATGTTCATTACCGTGGTCACAAGAGCCCTCCACTGGTCCCTATCCTGAACCAGATCTATCCAATCCATACCATCCCATCCTATATCTCGTAAGATCCATTTTAATATTGTTCACCCACCTACACCTTGGTCTTCCCAGTGGTCTCTTTCCTTTTGGCTTTCCTACCAATATCCTATACACATTCCTCGTCTTCCCCATTCGTGCTACATACCCTGCCCACCTCATCCTCCTTGACTTGATCATTATAATTATACTTGGAGAAGAGTACAAGTTATGAAGCTCCTCATTATGCAATTTTCTCCAACCTCCTGTCACTTCATCTCTCTTCTGTCCAAATATTCTCCCCAGCACCCTGTTTTCAAACACCCTCAGTCTGTGTTCCTCCCTTAATGTCAGAGACCAAGTTTCACACCCATACAGAACCACAAGCAAAATTTTAGTTTTGTATATTCTAATTTTTGGGTCTTTGGACAGCAGACGAGAAGACAAAAGGTTCTGGACTGAATGGTAGCAAGCATTACCCGAGTTCAATCGCCTCTTAATTTCCTCCTGAATCAGGGTTCGATCTGTTATCGTTGTTCCCAAATATCTGAACTGTACCACATTTTAAAAACGTCTGTTTCCTATCTATGTCATGATTTTGCCCTTCATTTTGGTGACGAGACAGCAACATATTGTCACGTGTTGGGTGTGTCACGCGACAGATAACTTTACGTGGGCCTCGAATTTAGCGACTCTTTATTGGACACTCAGACTTATACACCATACAATTATTATCACTTGTGGTATCACGTGACTTCTGCGACGTCTCGACTATCCTTGGCGGCAGCTATTCCAAGACTGTCTTCGGCGGCTGCTATATTCCAATTGTATCGCATGGCTACTAGGTTCCAACTGTGTTCTTCCTGTCTGTTGCTCTCGTCTTCTGTATGTGTTCTGCGGACTCAATAGAGGACACCCCTCGCCAAGGTTCGATCTCACGTGTTCGGCAATCCGTTGCTTCGTGTACGCTCCTTATACGCTGGTAACGAGTTTCGTCTCATCCGTTTTTACTCAACGGCCTTCTGTGGTTCATCTCCAGGGAAACGCGTTCGTTGTTTCGGCGTTGTCTACGCAACGGCTCGCTGTTATTGTTCTACAGTGAGAGTGCCTATTCCAAACATGTGATAATTTACTTAGTTTTCTCTGTGTTTACTTCTAGACCAACCTCTTTACTTGCGTCAATTAAAGTTTGTGTTGTTTTTCTTTATGGTATCTACGAGGGTTGGAACTTTAATAGTGGCAACTATTTATTTAAAACTGATACAAAACAGATGCCTGTTTCGAAGTTTTACTGTCCTTCAGTGTAGTCACCAGCATTGTGTACAACCCGTTGCCAACGATGTAGGATACCTTTAGCAGCGCCTTTAGTGTTGATAGTTCAAATGGAGCGGTCTACTGCCTGAAGAATCTCTGGAACAGTTCTGAAGCGAATGCCACGAAATGGTTCCTTCATCTTAGGAATGAAGTCGAAGTCACAAGGGCTTAAGTTCGGGGAGTATGGTGGGTGGTACAGCACTTCCCAGCCCCATCGAGCGAACAAATCAGCCACAGCTTGCGCTGCATGCGGCCGAGCATTGTCCTGCAAAATGATGGGTGGGTTCTGCAGAAAGTGTCGCCGCTTCTTTCTCAAAGCTGGTCGCAGGTTGTGTTCCGAAGACGAACAGTAATACTTCTCACTGACGGTCTGCTGCCGGGGAACGGTATGCCTTAGGATAAAACCATCACAGTCGTACACGAGAATCACCATTACTTTCAAATTGCTGGGGTTCTGACGAACTTTTGATAATCGTGGTGACCCGCAGTGACGCCATTCGTTCGATTGGCGTTTCATTCGTCGCTCGTACGATTTGGCCCATGTCTCATCCTGTGTAATGATACGGCGTAAGAAAGTCTCATTGCGCTCGAAGTGGTTACGAGCAGCTTCGTATCGTAGCCATTTCTTCGTTTCCGTCAAATCATGCAGAACCCATTGTGATGAAATTTTTCTCATGCCCAGGCGTTCCTTCAGAACGTGAAGCACAGTCATATGCTCAAATCCTGTCTGTAGGGCCAGCTCACGAATCGTATGGCGTCGATCACTCTCCAGTAACGCGGAAAGAGCATACACTTCTTCACTGACACTAGGACGACCTGGCTGACGAAAGTCTGCCACATTTTGACTTTTACCCACCTTACCACTGTTCTGTAAGGCAATGTAGATTCCCCGCAAGCCTCTTGAAGACCTTGATGACACTGTCGTGCTCTACGCCCTCTGGCACATTCAGTCTTTATCCAACTTCGTTGTTCCTGTTTCGAAAACATCGTGACAATACTAAATTAGACCGCCAGCTAACACGAGGCTCAGTTCTTCTCCTCACTGCGCATGCACGTGATGTGGGAAAGGAGAGTCCATTTGCTCTGAGGTAAGATAGGTATGTACCTAACGTGTGGTGTAAGCGACATTATTTTTTCCCGTTGCATGGCGTCTCTACAGCAGTGTTGCCACTATTAAAGTTCCAATCCTCGTACATTATCACCCAGTAGATTAACATCATAGGCATAGACAAGCAGCTGTTGTGTCCCATTTAATTTCAGTCTCACTTTGTTTCCCTGGACCTTCCTAATGGCATATTCTAAAGCAAAGTTGAAGAGGAGTGACGATAAAGCATCTCCTTGTTTTAGACAATTTTGAATAGGAAATTTATCAGACAAATGTTTACCTACATGAATTTTACTATTTGTTTCGTTTAAAGACATTTTAATCAACGTAAATAATTTCATGGGTCTCCTAAACTCCACGGGAATATTGTACAATACTTCCTTCCAACTGAATCATAGGCTTTCTTGAAGTCTGCAAATAGCTGATGTACAGTCTCATCCTACTCCCATTTTTTCTCCAATATCTGACGGATGCAAAATATCTGATCTGCCGTTGATCAGTTACGTCGAAACCCACACTGATGATCCCCAATAATTTCATCTATATATGGACTTAACCTTGAGAGAAGAATATTGGATAAAATTTTGTATGAAGTTGATAGCAGTGATATCCCCTGATAATTACTACAGTCAGTTTTGTCACCCTTCTTGTGCACTGGTACAATAATAGATTCCTTCCACTGATCAGACAATTTTCTCCTTATGCCAAATAGAAGTAATTAGCTTGTGGATCTTAGGACATAATATTTCGCCTCCTGCTTGAATAAGTTCTGCCGAAATTTGATCACCACCTTGCGATTTATACCGTTTCAATTTTGCAATAGCAGTAGTAGCCTCAAAAGCACTAGGATCAGGTATTAACGGCTCAGCTGTATCGATTTCTGTCTGCCTAACATCACTGACCCTATGTACATTCAATAACCGAGAGACGTAGTTCCTTCACCTATTCAAAATGTTGTGGGAATCTGCAAGCAGATCACCATTCTCATCCTTCACTAAGTTACTGCTAGGCTGGTAAACCGTCTTAAAGTAATTTATTCCTCTATATAGGTCTCTAATGTTCTTGTTCTTAGTGTTCATTGCAAGCTGTCTTTCAGATATTCCCTCTTTTTGTTCCTGAAATGCCTGCTGGTTTCACGTCTTATACTGTTCAGATTACCCCCATTTAACTTGCTTGAATCCTGTAACTATTGTAATTTGGCCTGTTTTCTTTGATGTAATAATTTTGAGCATCTTTTATCGAACCATGGCTTATGCTTCTTTGGTTCATAATAACCTAGACTCTCTTTGGCAGACATTTTTATATTCTCTCTAATAGTTTTCCAAGCTTTATTAACATCCACCTCAGTGTCCAAGTTTTCCAAAGCTGCGAACCTATTTGAGATTTCAACACAATACTGCTCTTTACCCTCTAACTCATTTAATTTCTTGAAATTGAACCTCTCCATATGAACTCTGTGTGTTGTTTGTTTGCCACCATCAGGTAGTGGTCAGTATCACAATCTGCTGTCCTGAATGATCGGACATCAAGTATACTTGAGTGCTGTCTCCCATCTATCAAAATATGGTCTATTTGATAGTGTATCTTCCCATCAGGAGATGTCAAAGTAAATTTATGGGTGTTACGATGTGGGTACTTTTGAGAGTAAGATTTTTTTATGTGGCAACGTTTACTACTCTAGCTCTATTATCATTACTGATTTCATGGAAACTCTCATTCCCAATTGTTGGTTTGAAAATGTCTTCCCTCTCTACTTTGGCATTGAAATCTTCTAACAAAATTTAGGGGTTTCCCTATTTTGTATTATTTATAGTTCATTTAACTATGCTGTTAGAAATGAAGACTGTATAGTATCTAGTGATAGCATGATTATTGAGGGACGTGGAATTAAATGGCTGTAGCTTAATTGATGGTATTGTTTGAAACTACTTTGGCTCCTATCCTGATTTCTGTTACATCAAAGTTTCGTTTGAGAACTTTATAGGCAACACTCGTCTAACTAATATTTTAAAAGTCTGCTTTTATTTCTGAGTAAATGCACTGCATATTTATTGTGAAGACCATTGACAGATGATGTGTGGGAGAACATAATGGAAGGGAAGCCCACACATAAACTCTGCTGGTGATAATTTGCCATTGCCCTGTAAAGGGTTAAATATAAGATGACTGTTGTGTATTATGTTCATATTGCAAACTTTTCATAGAATTGGTGCTAATTTTATTTTTCTTTACAGCCATTCATGGGTCCCAGATACCCTGCAGGGCCTCGGCCAGGAGTTCGGATGCCACAAATTGGCAATGAATTTAATGGGGTGAGTAGAAATTGTCAGTATTTTTTCAACAGTGAGTCATTGAATACAAAATGAAGGACTGAAAATTATTTTTATATGAATTATCTGTTTTTTATTTGCTTACCAGCACTTTGTTATCTGCCTTTTCTTCGTTTACCAGTATTTTGGAAAGTCACCAACAGTATAATTATAACCAATACACTATTTTAACAGATACAGTACATTTATTCAAAGTAACAGAACTGATTCTGCACCCTTTGGATTATTTTGAATTGTACTTTATATCCATGTTATCATTTATACTCTGTCAAAAACATTTTTGATGGTCACCATACATTGATTAGACAAACTTATAGAACAGAATTCATTGGGTTCAACAAGTTGTCCAGTTTGGAAATATTATTTTCCATTGTTTGTTGAAAATAGGATGTAGTAACTTTCTAATAATGTTGTAAACATCTGTCATCTGATAATGGTGCCCCCTTATCAATTCCAATTATATTAAGGCAACATATTTATGTTTTGTAAGGACCTTGAATCAAGCAGGCAAATTGGAGAATTTGAAAATGGAAATGCAGAAGAATGAGGTGTCTGCTTTAGGTGTCAGCGAAGTGCGGTGGAAAGGACAAGGTGAAATATGAAGCGGTGATTATACAGTGTATTACTCTCGAGGTGAATGGGCTGAAAGAGGTGTGGCAATAGTGGTGCATAAAAGTGTAGTGAGGAGTGTTGTTAAGAAGATTGTTTGTAATGACAGAATTATTGCTCTGAAGTTAAAGGCGAACCGGTAGATATACTGATTATGCAAGTGTACATGCCAACATCAGAGTATGAAGATGATGAAGTGGAAAAAGTGTATGACACAATTGAAGAAATTCTTCAGGAAGATGGAAGAGGTGACACAAACAGCATCGTATTGGGAGACTGGAATAGCATTGTTGGAGATGAACCATATCAGAATATTGTTGGATCACATGGACTAGGAAGACGGAATCACAGGGGTCAAATGCTTATTGACTTTTGTGAATGAAATGGACTGATTGTCACGAACACTCGGTTCAAGAAGCCAAAGAGAAGAATTTACACATGGAAGGCACCTGGGGATTGGAGGCGGCATCAGCTGGACTACATCCTTGTGAAACATCGATTCAGAAACAGTGTGAAGGATGTGAAGACGCTTCCTGGGGCAGACATTGACTCTGACCACAACTTGCTGGTTGCCAAGTTCCGAACCAGGTTGAAGAAAATTATAGGATTTCGAAAGCGCAGACCCAGATGGGATTTGGAGAAGTTATATGCTCAAAGACAAAGCGTGCAAGAGACCCTAGAAGAGAAACTCGGTGCAATTGAAGGTGAAAGCGGAAATGCTGAAGCGCAGTGGAACAATATAAAAGAATGCATGTTAGATACTATCAGTGATTTGGTTGGTAAAGTTGAGAAGATAGCAAGAAAACCATGGGTTACACAGGAGATGATGAGTAAAATGGAGGAGCGAAGGAAATGGAAGAATGTCAACAATGAAGAAGGCAGGAGGAAATACAGGAGACTGAGGAATGAATTGAAAAGAGCCACGGACAGGGCCAAAAAGGAATATCTTGAGAAGATATGTAATGAGATTATGGAATTTCAAAGAACATGATGTTGTGATTTGATGTACATGAAGACAAAAGATCTAGGATGGAAAGAGAATCATGGGATTCAAAATATTGGCATCGAAGACTCCCAGGGGAATAGAATAGGAGATCAGAGGCAAGTGCTGAAAATTTGGGAAAATTATATTACAGAA